AGAGAGAGAGAGAGAGAGAGAGAGAGAGAGAGAGAGAGAGAGAGAGAGAGAGAGAGAGAGGGGAGAAGCGAGTCAGGCAGGGCGATGCGTGACCGTCAGCACAAACAAACGATCGGCGGTTAACTAATTAACTAATCGCCTTTTGTCTCATAATTAAACTAATTAATTCTCTCGCAGGTGCGCTGAGGTGGAAGGAAGATCTAATGAAGAAAGCATCCGACGCATTCCTGCAGCGACGGCTCAACACTCCGAACCTAAGGAAGCTCGTCTACGGAGAAGGTAAAGGAGACGTTGTCACCTGTGGTGCAGACGCGCGGGCGCGCGGCGTGATGTGGATAAAGCTCTGACTTCATAGATAAGTTCGACAAGAGTTACTGAATTTAGCGATTCTATGAATCTAGGGTCGATTATGTAACGATCTTGTGAATGAATGTGTTAGGTAATACTACTGTTAAGGATACTCTCAACCTTTTTTCAAAATTTTGCCTAAAACTTTGAGAGTATCCTTAAGGACGGAGAAGGTAAAGGATGCGAGGTGACCTGTGATGCACACGAGCGAGCGTCCAGGCGTGATCGAGGGTTCATGAGTACAGGTATACTTACCTAACAGGTTCATTCACGAAAGCATCGCGTCAGCTTGATCGAAGGGTCTCAATGACGTGATCTAGACAGGTAGTATTACCTAACAGGTTCATTCACAAGCAAGCATCCAGGCGTGATCGAGGGTTCATGAGTGACTAGACAGGTAGTATTACCTAACAGGTTCATTCACAAGCAAGCATCCAGGCGTGATCGAGGGTTCATGAGTGACTAGACAGGTAGTATTACCTAACAGGTTCATTCACAAGAGCCTTACGTAATCGACTTTGCTAAATTCAGTTACTCTAGAGTTGTCACCGAAGCACTGGTTCACAAAAGCACGGGTATAGAGGCATTATGGGGGCTGTAGGTTCATAAGTGACTAGACAAGTAGTATTACCTAACACATTGTCATTCATTCACAAGATCGTTAGGTAATCGACCCTAGATTCATAGAATCGCTAAATTCAGTAACTCTTGTCGAACTTATATATAAAGTTAGACCTGTACTGGTATGTAAGGGTCACTTTACCAAAGCCGTCCTTTATAGACAGGTGGCCCTTCTATAGAGTCAGGTTCCCTACTTTCAGCGCTGGCCGCGGAGGAGGGCAGCGAGGATGAGGAGGAGGTCGGCGGACTGTTCCACGTTGCGACGAAGGAGGGAGGGTCGTCCCGGAGGGGCAGAGCCACGATCAACGGCCTCGACTGCACCCGCCAGCCTGCGTCCGCCTCCGCCGCCGCCGCGCGCGACTGGGACTCGGACGCGGTGCGTACGATGCCCGCCAGGGGGCGCCGGCGGCGTCGGAAAGTCGCGTGCGTCGCGATGTGAACCGTGTCGTTGAACGAGGTCGTTGAGATAGCTAGGACATTCTAAACACAAAGCTTAGCTACGAAGTGTCCTTTTTGGCGTGTGCCTGAAAAACGCAGATGACTAGAAATCAAGACGATGAACTAGCGTAGCCTTTTTATATTTTTAATTGGTCTCATCACATCTTATATTTATTATTGGTCTAGCATAATTATATTTATCATTGGTTCGGCCATTTTTGGTATTTTACATACTTTGCTCGACACAAATCTCTCTCTCTCTCTATCTCTCTCTCCCTTTCTCTATCTCTCTCTCTCNGAGGAGAGAGATTGAGATGGAGAAGAGAGAGGATCAAGAGAGAGAGAAGAGGAAAAGAGAGAAAGAGAAGGAGGAATCGAGGGAAAAAAGGAAGGGAAAGAGAAAGAGAAAGAGAGAGAAAGAGAGAAGGAGAGAGATAGAGACAGGTAGAGAGGAAAGAGAAGAGGATAAGAGATAGAGAGAGAGAGAGAGAGGAGATGATTGAGAGAGAGAGACCGAGCAGATTTGAAGACGAGCACTGAGTGAGAGAAGATCCAGGCTCGACGAGAGAGATGAGAAAGAGAGCTGGAGAGAACAGAGAGAGAGAGAAGAATGAAGAGAGGAGGAGATGGAGAGACGACGAGAGAGGAGGAAGAAAGATAAGAGAGCGAGAGAGAGAGAGAGGAGAGGAGAGAGAGGGAGAGAAGAGAAGGAGAAGAGGGGAGAAGGAAGAAGGAAGAAAGAAAAGAGAGGAGACGAGAGAGAGGGAGAGAGAGACGAGGGAGCAACCGAGAGAGTAGAAGAGACGGAGCGCGGAGGGATGAGGAGAGGAGGGAGAGACGAGCGGGGGAGAAAGGAGGGCGGGGAGAAAAAGAGAAGAGGAGAGAGAGGAGAGAGAAGAGAGAGAGAGAGAGAAGAGAGAGAGAAGAGAAGAAGAGAGTGAGAGAGAAGAGAGTAGAGAGATGAGGGAGAGAATGAGAGAGAGAGAGAGAGGAGAAGAGGAGAGAGAAAGAGAGAGAGAGAGAGAGAGAAGAGAGAGGAGAGAGAGAAGAGAGAGAAGAGGAGAGAGAGAAGAGAGGAGAGAAAGAGAAGAGAGAGAGGAGAGGAGGAGAGAGAAGAGAGAAGAGAGAGAGAGAGAGAAGGAGAGGAGAGAGAGAGGAGAGAGAGAGAGGAAGAGAAGAGGAGAGAGAGAGAGAGAGAGAGAGAGAGAGAGCAGAGAGAGATGATGACCTGAGTGAGAGAGGAGAGAGGAGGAGAGAAGGGAGCGAGAAGGAGGTAGAGGGAGAGGAGAGGAGATGAAAGGAGAGAGGAGGAGAGAGAGGAGCAGAGAGAGGAAGAGAGAGAGAGAGAGCAGAAGAGACGAGACGAGGAGAGAGAGAGGAGGAGAGAGATGAGGAGAGACGGAGGAGGAGGAGAGAGAGAGACCGAGGAGAGGGAGAGATGAGGAGATGAGAGAGGAGAGAGAGAAGGAAGACGATGAGAGAGATACGGGGAGGAGAGAGAGAGACGAGAGACATGAGACGCGTCGAGCCGAGGAGAGAAGAAAGAGAGAGAGAAGGGAGAGAGCAGATGACGCAGAGAAAGAGAGAAGGAGAGAGAGCAGACGAGAGACGAGAGAGAGAGAGAACCCGAGAGGAGAGAGACGAGACTGAGATGAGAGAGAGAGAGGGCAATGTAGGGTGCATTTACAGCACCAGCCTATCAATCACCTGAGCATTGGCTTTGGGATAGTAACACGCGCTTGGTCTCCCCTACTGTTCCTGCTCTCAACCGGGCTACCTGTCGTGGTGTATCGCGCAGATCCACTCCTTCTCACCTCGTTACCACGCTGCCGTACCTGGTACCTGTTGTCGTGTATCGCAAGCATGCGTGTGAAAGAAGCATCGGCTGGCCACCGGCGCCGTCCTGTAACCCTCTCCTCTCACCTCGCGTTACCGCGTGCGTACCTGACCTGGTTGGTATCGCACACATGCGTGTGAAGACAGACATCCGTAGCCCACCGGCGCGTCCTTAACCCTCTCCTCATCACTCGTTACCGCGTGCGTACTGATACCTGTCTGTGCACATCGCCCACAGGTGCGTGTCAAGAAGCATCTGTGCACCGCGCGACGTCCTTAACCCTCTCTCTCACCTCGTTACCGCGTGCCGTTAACCTGGCTGACCTGTGTGTATCGCACAGATGCGTTCGTGAAGAAGCGATCGGTCGGGGCACCGGGCGTCCTTAACCTCTCCTCTACCGCTTACCGCTGTGACGACTGGACCTGTGCTGTATCGCACAGGTGGCACTTGTGAAGAAGCCATCTGCTTGGCATCTCGGCGCATCCTTAACCCTCTCTCTCACCTGTTACCGCGTGCCGGACCTGCGTCCGTGTGTCATTGCGCAGGGCCGTCGTCAAGAGCGATCGGGCGGCCCGCGCATCCTGGAAGACTCGCGATCCGCTTGTCGTCTCGCTCGGCTGGCGTCGCTTCCAGACGATCCCGCCTCTACGACGTGCAGGGACCACAACATGCGCACGCCTGCTCCAAGGTACGACGCCGCAGCACATGCCCACTGCAATGCCGTCTTCGGGGTAGCACTGTACCTGTAGTGTCCCTGCGGTGTGTCCCTGTGGCGTGTCTCTGGTGGTGTCCTGCTTTGGTTGTCCCGTTGGGTTGTCCTTGTCGCGTGCTCCCTGTCGGTCTCCCTGTTGCGTGTCCCTGTTGTATGTCCCTGTGGTGTCTCTGTTGTGTCTCTGTTGGTTCCCTGTTGGTGTCCCTGTTGGTGTCCCTGTGGTGGCCAACATGTTGATGTCTCTGTTGTGCTCTGTTGGTGTCCTTGTGCGGGTCCCTGTTGGTTCCCTGTTGGCTGTCCGCTCGGTTGTCCCCTGTTAGTGTCCATGTTGGTGTCCCACTGTTTGCGTGTCCCTGTTGCGTGTCGTTCGTCGAGTGTCCCTTGTCGTGTCCATTGTCGTGTCCCTGTCGGTGTCCCTAGTTGTGTCCCTGTTGGTGCTCCTGTTGGTGTCTCTGTTGGTGTCTCTGTGGTCCCTGTTGTCTGTCCCTGTTGTGTCCCTGTTGTGTCCCTGTTGGTCTGTCCCTGTTGTCGTCTCTGATTGTGTCTTAGTGGTGTTTCCTTGTTGGTGTCCCTGTTCGCGTGTCCCTCGTATGGTGTCTCTGTTGATTCCTGTTCGGTGTCTCTGTTGGTGTTCCTGTTGGTGTCCCTGTTGTGTCCTGTTTGTGTCCTTGTTGTGTCCATGTGGTGTCCTTTTGGTGTCCCTGTTTGAGTGTCCTTGCTTATAGTGTCCCTTAGTTAACGTGTCCCTGGCGTGTGTGTCTTCTGCGGGTGATCACCGTTCACGTTCTGTGTGGGGGGGGGGGGCGTCCGCACGCCCGGTGTGCGTTGGCTGCCACACATTGTTTGTGTCTTCTTTTGGTGAGGCTCGGTCCCTGTTCGGTGTCCTTGGGTGAGCATCGTCAGTGTGGGGGGCGCGGAAGCTCCGCACTGTGTGTGTGCTTGTGTTCGGTGTCCCTGGGTACTGTTGTATTCTGGGGCCAGTGAGCTCTGTTCCGGTTGTGTCCTGGGCTGTGTTGCATCATAGCATTGCTCTTCTGGGGAGTCATCGTTCACGTCCGTCGCGTGTAGGTGTCGTGCCGTGTGTGTTGTCTATGGCGGTGAGACTGTCCCCAAACACCATGTTGCTTAGTGTTCCTGGGTATGTATGTCTTCTGAGCTGTAGAGTGCCATCACCCAGCATGTATTGTTGGTGTCACCACTGGTGTTGTCTTATGTCTTAGTCACTGCCCATGCCTGCTGTTTGTTGGTGTCACGCTGGGTTTGTTGCCATGGCTATGTTGCTCATCGGGGGGGGCGGGGGGAAACACTCTGTCTCCAGGCGTAGTGTCCCCGTCGTCTGCACATGTGTGCTTAAGCTACAATCGTAATCTGCACAGCTGTGTCGAGCGTGCAATGCGTGTACACGTAATGGAACGTCGTATGAATAATTCAATAATAGCAAATCGAGCAGAAAAAATCTCTAAACGCAGAAGAATTCCGTAACGAAAGAGAAATTACGTAATAAACGAAAAACTAGACTGAATGATTAAAACTAAACTGATGATTAAAACTAACTAAATGATAAAACCACTGAATGATTAAAAGCTAAACTGATGATTAAATTAATAAAAAACTACACTAAACTGATAAAACTACACTGAAAAACTACATGAATAGGATTTAATAATAGCAGATCGAGCACAGAAAAAAATCTGTAAACGCAAGAGAAATTCCGCTAAACGAAAGAGAATACTGTAACTAACGAAAAGCCTACTGCGCGCGGTATCCGCGCGACGCTGTGCCTGACTCTCCATCTCGTTGCTGCAGACATCACGCCGCAGACGACTGGCATTCATGGCCGTGCAGTCGCGGTGCCGATGGCGGACGCGCGGAGTTCCGCGTCGCTGCGACGGCGTCCGTCCGCACTGCTTGACCTGACAACGTCGGTCAATGTGTGAAGAAGCTGAAGCTGGTGGAACGCCTGCCCTAAAGATCTATCGCAAGGACTGCCTTCATACAGGTAGCGGGGAGGAGAGGGAGAGGGAGGAGGAGGAAGAGAGGGGAGGGGAGGAAAGCGGAGCAGGAAGCGCGTGGAAACGCCGCTAAAGGATCTATCGCAAGACCTGCCTCATACACGGTGAGCGGAGGAGGAGAGGGCGAGGGAGAGGAGGCTGGAGAGAGGAGAGATGGAGGATTAGGAGGAGGGAGGAGGGGTGAAGGGGAGATGAGGAGGAGGATGGGGGATGAGGAGGATGGGGATGAGGAGGAGAGGTGGAGGAGGATGGGGGATGAGGAGGGAGGAGAGAGGGGAGAGGGAGAGGAAGGGATGAGGAGGGGTAGAGGGGGAGGGGAGGAGGGGATGCAATGAAAAAAGCAGCTTTGAACCTTTGAATCGTAACGCCGACCTTTCTGTGCAGGGAATGTTCAACTCGGCGCTGGAGGTGGCGAAGTTTGAGGGCGCCGGTGTTCGCACGGTCAGCGGACTCCGCGGACAGATCAAGAAAGCCGCGCGGGTACGGACTCGCCGGTCTCGCTGGAAACATCCGCATTTCAGCGGCTATCGTTTTCACGTTTTTCATCGCCGATTCGCGTTATTGTTCCCAGAAAATTGAGTTCAGAGTTTCTCGTTCGCTTGCTAAAATTACGCATCGTAAAAGTTAGTTGAAAGATGAAAGAAATTAGATTTAAGTTAATGTAGATATATAGATATATTAGCGGGAATGTGTCCCGTCTCCTGAGAGACGTCTGTATTTCGTCGACTCGTCTCGTTTTCGTGTTTTTCGTCGTCGATTTGCGTTATTGTTTCCAGAAGATCGGGTTGAGAGTTTCTCGTTCACTTGCTAAAATTACGCATTGTAAAAGTTAGATAATATATGATTGAAATTAGATTTAAATCAATGTCAGATTAATGATGAAAAAGCAGATTAAATAACGATTGTAATATTGTGTGCTCGCCAAATGATGCTATCTTAAAGGGATTCATTTTTTAGGCACCAGATGGCGCTTTCCGTGCGACGTTCGAGGACAAGATACTGATTAGCGACATTGTGTTCTTGCGGACGTGGTACAGGGTGGAGGTGAGTGGTTTCAACGTGCTGGACATCGGGATTCCGTTATTCTCCACTGCTCACACGAATAGACAGAGAGACATAGATGAGAAAGAAGTGAAGGCAACGCTATCAGTATCCACAGTGACGCTATGCATGTATAAGTCGGATTAAACGTCAAGCAGTCGGCGATTTCAGCTGAAAAATTTGACAAAGATGTGAAGATGATGTGAAAAAGATGTATGGTAGACATAAGCCTATCTGAAATTCTTACTAACGTCTGTTCCTCGGTGCCATACAACGATATTGCAATCGTTAACCTTTGCATTGCTTTCTGAAAATCATTTAAAGGTTATGTTTTCTATGGGAATCGCCTTCAGTCTATAAACCTTTCACACCATCAAATGCGTGTAAGTGCAGGGCGGCCATGTTTTATCCGAAATATCTCTCGGCATCGTCGTCATGGCATCAGCTGACGTGCGGCGGCCATGTTGCATCTTCCAGGTGCCGCACTTCTACAACCTGGTGACGACGTTGTTGTTGCCACGGGAACAGAAGCTGAAGTGGAGCGGGATGAAGACGTTGGGAGCGCTGAAGAAGGAGAGAGGCCTGCAGTTTGAACCGAACACCGACTCTCTCTACAGGGTGAGACGGAGAACGGGGATACATCGAGGGTTGGTCCAGGGGTGGGTGTGTAGCGGAGGCCTGGACCGTCTCTACGTCCTGCATATCCACTGCTACTGCCCTGCATGCCCTGGGCTGTCTCTATGTGACATAGATCCACTGTCGCTACCCCCCTCCCCCGTTCGTGGGTTCGACAATCTTATCACTTGATCGCATCGAGCCGTGAAGTTAGCGGCGGCCTGGAACTGAACATGGGAGTTGCGGGGATGACCAGGGTTGTTACAGGGGCAGGCTAGACACTCATCACTCGGAGGGCTCTGACAGGACCGCTGAGCCCATTGTTACAAACATTGTAAATGTTAGTGTTAGGCTACCCAGGCTAACTACTTACTACTTAATAACGTTAAGGCAGAAATTTGTTTCTGACAATGGTTTCTGCTTCTGGTTCTACTACTGATTCTGATCCTGGCTCCACTCGGTAATGTTCACCGAATGAGTAACAAACGACACAGAACGCAACTCTTGAGAAAAACCTTTGTGTTTTCCGTTCCCAGCCCGTCGAGAGAAAGAAGAGAGCATTCAAGCCGCTAGTTGTGCCAAAGGAACTGCAGAGGAAGCTACCGTTCAAGGACAAGCCCAAGACGTTTGTCAAGAAGAGAGACGAGTTTGAAAGTCAACGCGTCGCGGTCGTGAGGGAGCCACGAGAGGCCAAGGTGAGGGGGCGCCACTGTACACGCGTTCCGAGCGATGTTTTCTCTCCCCCTGGTGGTGGTGTTGTTGGGAGCTTATCACAGGCGGGATTTGGTTTTATTTCTAGAGTAGTAGCGCGATTTAGTAGTACTACAACGATATTAATGTTACTGCTTGAATTCGAATTGCAAATGGTGCCTAGATGGTGACATTAATAACAGTAAAATCTACTGTATGAACCACGTATCTGTGTCAGATCAAGTTTAATGTCTGTGTTTTCTACACGCATGTATGTTTATGTCTATTATATATGTATATCTATGTGTATGTATGTACATATGCATGCATTTACAGGTATACATATATATATATATATATATATATATATATGTGTGTGTGTGTGTGTGTGTATATGTATTTATATATATATACCCGAGCAATCCGTACACGAACATTAAACGATATCCACCGCCGCCGCGGTTTTAGATCGTGAACATGATGAAGATGATCAAAGCGGTTCACGAACACAAGCTGCGCCAGCGTCGCGTGGCCATGAGGCAGCGCGTAGAGAAGCACCGGCAGCAGATGGCGAAGGAGGAGGTCATACGACTACGCAAGCAGAAGGAACTCAAGAAACACGTGCACAAAGTGCTGGGACAGCTGGAGAAGAAGAAACTGGCATCGATGAAGGACTAATAGCGGAGAGAGGGAGAGAGGGAGAGAAGGAGAGAGAGAGAGAGAGGGAGAGCGAGAGACGAAAAGAGACGCTGAGAGCCGAAAGATGAGAGAAGAGCGTGAGAGGGAGAGGAGAGAGAGGAGAGGGAGAGGTCGAGAGGCGAGGAGAGAGAGAGAGAGAGAGTGAGAGGGAGAGAGGAAGTGGGAGGGTGGTGTTGGGTTCTGACATCTACACGTGTATGGGTATGGCTGAGATTGTTAAGCAGGAACCAAGTACGCAGACAAACAGACAGGTGAGAAAATGGACTAGTGAGCAGGCAGGTGATCACGTGGACAGGTGGGCAGGCAGGCAGGTAGATAGACAGGCAGGCATGCAGTTGATCAGACAGGTAAGCAAGCAGGCGGACATGCCGTTTATTCGATGTGTCGTGTTTTAAGTGTACATACGTGTACCTACCCTCCTAATTGCCTGTGTGCCTAATTGCTGTATCCGTGTTACAATGTCACATCCTGTACTTGCTACAAGCCAGTAACCTTGAATCATGATACATCTAGGGAGGTTTACACACCCGACTAGATATAAACTGAGTTTGATTCTTGTTATTTCTGTATGCTGTCGCAACGTTTTATACAAATAAAAGATGTCAAATGAATAGTATAGTTTATATTAGTATAATTTACGTGTAGTTTTGTAACGTATCATATACGCAAAATCTGAAGAAATATGTGAAAATCTAAGAGTGAAATTTGTCTGAAAATCACAGTGTTTTTATTCTATGCACAAAACGTACAAACAAGTTTTCCTGCCCCAGTAATGCCATCCTCGTTGATAGCATAGCACTCTATAGATCTCTTCCGACACATCACACCCCTCACAGTAATTAAATGCCTCATTTGTAACAATAATAATAGCAATGGACGAATTTAACTGCATTTATCTTAAACGCACGCGTGCACACGCACACATACTCACCGGCAGAACCGCAAACAACTAATTTACATAAAAAATGTCTTCTTCGTTACAAAATTAAATTAAGATCCCCGGCATTGGCCCATCAGCACACCGCGGCGATCCACCGAAACGTCGTTTAGAACACGAAATTAATCGCTGCGTTTCTCTCGCGATCCTCTAGATGGCGCTGTGCGTTACAAGTTTGGCGCGACGTAGTTGAGGAGCTTGATGGCGACCTCGTAGCCGAGAAAGCAGGCGGCGTTGGCGGGGAACGCACGCAGCATGACGGGTCCCAGGCCCTTGAAGAGACCCCGCGGCCCCTCCGTACGCATCATCTCCGCAAAGACACTCCGAATCCCGTTCGGGTATTTACCGGGCGGAGCTGCAACGGCAGAGCAACGTGAGACGGAGCATGAAACATGGAGCATGAAACGGTGTAGCATGTAACATGGAGCATGAAACGGTGGAGCAACGTAACACTTAGTGCGTACAATGAAACGTACATTATGTAACTAAGTAACATGAAGCATGTTACATGACAGAACTCGTTACACAATGGAGCACGTTACACGACAGAGCATGTTACACAATTGAGCACGTTACACGGAGCATGTAACGCTTAGTGCATACAACGATAAAGACTCGTTCAGACGCGTCGTCTCACCTGTCTGCAGCCGGGACTTGAGTACGTCCGGAGCGATCGCCACCACCCAGTTGAAGACGCCCGCCATGCCGCCGGCGAATAGGATGCGCAGCGGAGATAGACCGGCGCGGCTCTGTCCATCCGGCGTCAGCGTGTGCTGGAACCACTCATACGTCACGAAGTACGTGCCCGTCGCGGGAACGTCTAGCAAGGACGAACGAATGTCATTCATGTTTATTATTCATGATCATCATTTTCCTCACAGTCACTTACCTCGTTGGTTGTACGGAGCAGGGAAGGGAACCGAGTGTCCCTCGAGAACTATAATCATAAGCTCTGCGATGGGATATTTTGTTCGTATATTTTCCGTGCGATATTCTCGATTTTTGTAAATAGAAACGTTTTCTGCGAACGGTCCATCGAGGAGAGGTAACCGTGACGATCGTTACACGAGAGAGATATCGTTGGCGTGCGTGTGCGAAGGTTTGCGAGACCCGGCTCACAATGAGTGAGCTGCCTATTACAGACCCCAGAGAGTACAAGCTCCGGGGCTTGATAAATGTGTTTGGAAAACGCCAACGGGGCGCAGTGTGGTGTGGTGGCATTTTCCTCAAGCTTGTTAATCTGCGTCAAAATTGATGAGTGAAATCATCAATGATGCGTGAAATCATTGATCATCAATCAATGATTGATGATTGCTGTCACAGTGCGTGCATACACCCAGCACTACAACATTTTCACCACCAGGGTGCGTTCACGCAGCACGGCAGTATTTTCACCACCAGGGTGCGTACACGCAGCGCCGATGCAATTTCGCCTGCAGGGTGCGTGCACGCAGCACCGATGCAATTTCGCCACCAGGGTGCGTGCACGCAGCACTGCGGAGATTCGCGCGAGCGGCGCACGCGTCGCTGGCGAACACTCACCTCTCAGCAGAGTGGCAGCAGTTCCTCTGTACAGGCTTCTGATTCCTCCCTCCTTCCACAGCTGCTTGGTCACATCAATGGGACCGGCGTATTTCTTCACCTTCTCCGACTGCTGGATCTACGTCGGGAACATTAATCGACCGCGTTAGCCTAATTAGTACGTTAGCGCGGCAGACGACAACGCTCCAGCTTTTCGCAATTTTTGTTTTATTCTCATTTCTTTCTTAATTTCTTATTTATTTCTTCTTCTTCTTCTTCTTAGACCCTTTAGTCTCCTGGGAGACACAGATCATTGGTGAACTTCCTTCATGTCGCCATTTATTTCTTATTATGTTTTATTCTTATTTCTTATTTCTTATCTTTTTTCTTATTCACGTACCTGTAGCAAACACTTGATTCGCTCGCCCGGCGCCATTATTGCAGTGGTGAACACGCCAGCAAGCATTCCCGCTGCGAACAGCTGTGGGTACCTGCAACCATACATACACACATACATACCTGCGCACAAACACACACACACACACATTGTTACTCATGAATGTATCGTCGCCGATGCGCCGCGTGGATAACGTGGTCGTCACCAAGCCCTCGAGTGACAGGATGAAGAAGAAGAGAAAGACGAAAATGAAGAAGAAAATAAAGAAGAAGAAGATGAAGAAGAAGAAGACAACAATGACAACGAAGAAGAAGAAGAAGAAAAAAGGAAGAAAGCTGAACGGAGTTGCATACATACATACTTGCACATGCGCACAAACTTATATAAATGTTCACACAAAACTATGGAAGGTAAATCATGCGCTTCATGTGCGTTTAACTCTCAGCATCCCACACTGCATGTTAATTGATACGTACGTTAATTACTGAATGATAATTAACACGTACGTTAGTTCGTCATCTGGATGCTTCATCTGCAGCTTCTTTCCTATGCCGAAACCCAGGAAACAGACAGCGTACATCGGAGTGACACCTACAATCGGAGCTGCCATTCCTTTGTAAAGCCCAAAGAAGCCCTGCAGACAAGTGAGATATCCCAGATCAAGACATTACAGCAATGCAATTACAGTACTACTACTTACAATACGACAACGAAAGTGAATTGGACGCCTGAGCGAAGGACTCATAAATTTGGCGTGGCTAACAGGAACTTACGATCACGTAAATTTATTCGTGCAGACCACCAGATGTACGCTATTTTAGCGCATATAATCACCTCATTTCGAATTGTCTGTAGAGCACAGTCAAGTGTTCCAGTAAACCTAGGTGCTTGACCAGCCGGTGGCACCGGCATTGTCTGTAAACGAACCTGTTAAATGAAATAGCAACCATCTATTAATATTTGTGAATATTGTATTATTGTTTGCATGGTTTATATTTGCATTGCAATGGAGATGTAATACAAACTATGGCAGTTTGGCAAACACTGGTTTATGTACACAAGTTTGGAAATTGCATTTATTGAGGTCGGGATTGCGGTGTGATAACTCCTAAAGGTTATGGGCCTATACATAATATATTATATGTATACGTGTGTGTATACTACTACCCTTGCGTATAGCTGAGAGTGTCTATGTCCCAAGGGGTACTGCCGGAACGTACCCTGGGTACGGTCCGGTATACCGCAACGTACCCTGGTACTATCTAATATGCCGACCGTACTCGCCTACTCACTAACGAGTTCTAGGAGTCGCCTATGCCTACCTCCTAACCCGACCCGAACCATAACGCTAACCCTAACCCTAACCTAACCCTAATCATATCAAATAGTGACCAGGTACGTTCCGGTATACCGGACCGGTACCAGGGTAAGTTCCGGCAGTATACCCTGGGGACATTCGACCTAGGAGCTTTAGGCTGTTCAGCCTGTTGTTGTGGCTATAGTGTGTGTTTTTTTATGTAGCATTGTAGCTGTTGTGTACGGCAGGTAGAAATGGACAGGTATCAATCAACATGTCCCTATCCTATATTTTCGAGAATTCCTGTTTCACTCATTCATTCAGAATCATTGTATCGCAGATATCTGTACTACTACTAGTGTAAAGGGTACTTCACGCATTATGACTATAGTCTACCTCCACCCCCACTCAGCCCCACTCAGTAGAATGAATGTCGTCGACATGAATGGTATGCAGCTACAGGTGAAACATGATGAGATGACCTTACATGCATTTGCACTTAAATCTACAGTAGGGCCTACATGTAAACAAATACACATGATTCATGCCGATTTTAACGAAGTGCACCGTAGGCCTACTTTTATTGTGTCTAAGGGTTGTCCAGCGCCAACAAGGCACACGCCACCAAATCCACCAGCCAAGAAGGTCTTCACAGGACTAACTGTCGGTGTTTCTGTCATTTTGATTGCTTCTAATTCTACTATAACTACTGGTTTTGTGTTACTTGCTATTTGTCACCGATTCACCCTTGCACACAAAAAAAACTATGCATTGCGATTCGCGAACAATTTTACCAAGCGATGGCGCTGCCGTGCGACTTCCCCACTGCGGTTACCATGATGCATTGCGATTGCAGGAGAGTTCCAAAGTAAAAGTAGTTTGCCCCATTTTCCACGTTTGTAATAGCGTTTCTTCATGTTAAAACTACTGAAGGCGTTCATGATTAATAAAATTGAATGATTTTGGTAACAATTTGCCTAACAATCGACGTTATAATTGCTCTAGATACAGCCGATTTTTTAACGCCTCATAATGACGTCAGTTTCAAAAATGGCGGAAGGAGGGCCTCCGGATTGCGAGACGCAGAAGGAAACTATCACTAATTTGCTCAAAATACCTATGAAAAAAGATGATATATGGTTAGTACGTTTACAAGTGCGCAAAGTATCATATTTTGCATCACCGCTCTGTTGTTATTATTCTTTGATGTCTTAAATTCCATTACAAATTATCAAGTAGGCTAGAATAACAATGTTTCATCACTTTTGAGTTTGTCCATTTCGCTCCAAGTTGCATGTACAACTTCTTCAAATATGCAGACTGAGTTTGCAAAATTAGCACAAATTTGGGTAAAACAACTGTACTTGATACCCTGATCCCCTAAACCGATTGTTTTTGCGTTGACATCGTCTGGCATACACAGTCTCTGTATTATTGACATTGTCAGCCACCCTTTACACATCAAACTTCAAAGTTACAGTGGGATTATGGTTTTAGGCAGCTGCACTATACTAAGTTGCAAAATAAATGCAGTTGATCATTGAAATATTTATGAATGAAGGAAATGAGTTAAATTACCAATAAAAATGCATAATGTAGGTTTCTAAGTGACTGTTATTGCTGGTAAAGGGGAAAGTATAGTATTATGAATGTTTAAAGTTATACTTCAACTAACCTATTTTTTATATATATATATTGATCAGATGATTTTCTATATAGATCATATGATATCAGAGATCACATTGTAGCAGTAACGTTGAATAACACAGCTGTACTAGTTCATAGAATGCACACAGAGCACATTGTAGAAAATGTTGGTTTCCAGAATTTATTTTAGTTTGTAGGCCTACATAAAAATATTGTAATAATGACAGTTTTGTTTTAGAAACCTGGTATGTGTGTTATTGTGATGTGTCATGATAACAACTGATGCTATACAATGCTCTGTGGTTTTGATCGACAGAGGACATTGGATAGACGATATTAGCGAAAAGGTGAAGAAAATAAAGACTCTAGTTCATCAGACCAACAGATAATGAGAGCAATGATGTTGTGGTTTTTTTCAGGTACTTGATTGATAGTCGATGGTTCAAACAATTTAAGAAATATATAGGTTTCGACAACTGGGATACGCTCGGTGCGGGGGAGCAGAGTAGCTTTCCCGGTCCAATCGACAACGCTCCTCTATTTAAAGGTTCGTAACGCGTCAACACGCCTTTCTGCTGTATTCACATAAAAGGTTATGCAGTTGAACTTGTTCTATTTGGACAAAGTGGCAGATGATCGATTGGAATCGTGTTATTGATACTCCTTTGAATATGAAATAATACTAAAAATAAAAATAATACGAAAACTAATATTAAATGATACTAAGCGGTCCGTGATGCGAATTGGATTTGATCGCCGAATACGTTTTGTTCAACAGAGGATAGGAAGGCGCTCAGGGAGCATCTAATAGAGGAAGTAGACATGGTTTTAGTGCCGGAGGAGGCGTGGAAGCGGCTAGTCAGCTGGTATGACACAGTAGAGGGGCAGGAGCCAATAGCCAGACAGGTACGTGCATGCAGCAAACGACGTCTACGTGTAGGAAATCGGACAATCCTACGGCATTTCTGTCAATCACATGTACTGTTTGTTCTACTAACAATCTGCATTGAACTATTTTGGTTGCCAACAAGCCACTTTGAATTACAGTTAGAGTTAAGATTAAAGTTCCGGTCCGTGGGGGTTAGAGTTAGGGTTAACTTTTATCGTAGACCATTGATGGAAACATCGTAAAGTTACAAGTTTTTCATATGTAGCGTATATTTAAAGGTCTAGTGTATGAGGAAAAGTTAAAATTAAGTCTTGCGTAAAGATTAATTTTGTTTCTATCATTCGTCCACGAGAATAAGTTAATGTTAAGACTAACGTAAAGAATAATTTGGTTTCTATCAACGTTCTACAAGAAAAAAGTTAAAGTTAACACTAATGTTGAGACTCATTTTGTTCTGTTGTTTCTGGTGTGGCGCCATCTGTAGGTCGTTGAGCACGGCATGTTCGTGAAGCAGTGTAAGGTGGAGGTCTACCTGGTAGAGTTCAAGCTCTGTCAGAACAACGACCTTGAGAACTACGTCACGCAGCAGTTCAGCAAGGCCGATACGATAGGTACGTGTCACCGCTACCGATACAGTACGATACCGTACGATATAAGATACGATAGGCACGTGTCACCGCTACCAATACGATACGATACCGTACAATATAAGATACGATAGGTACATTTTACAGCCACAGATACTGTACAATACAATACAATGCTATATGATACGATATGATAGATACGTGTGAGAGCTACGGATACAATATGATAGCTATGTGTTAGAGCCACAGAGACGATACGATACAATAACATATGATACAATATCATATGTACATGTCAGAGCTACAGATACGATACGATGCGATAAAACACTATACGATACGATACCGTAGGCACACGTCAGAGTTACAGATAGGGTAACATAATATAAGATATGGAAGGTACATGTGGTAGGATACAATATATAATAGTGTACGCTTTCACTATCATTTCGAGTTTAATCAAGCATCATTTGGCGACGCTATTCGATTAACGTTACCAAGAAAGGACTGTCGAAATAAAGTCGCACGTGTTGTTTTTCAGAGCACATAGAGAAGAAAATGCGCACACTGTTTAGCATAGAAGACAGCAAAGAAACGCGGCTGTGGAACAAGTATATGAGTAACACATACGAACACTTGAACAAGAAGGATCACACGGTGCAGGACGCGGGGCTGTATCAGGGACAGGTACGAAGACTCGATAACGAGATATAGTAACGCTGTAATGCGTAGGAGGCGTGTGACGAGGCAGAGTTCAAAGTTCACCGCGCGGCAGCGAGTGACCTCGTCTGCCATCACACCCCGACGAAAGTTGCACGACGTCAACGGCAACAAACTATCGTGACTTGTTTGTTTCCGTGCAACAACTCTTCGCAGAGGTTCTGCGTTTGCGCATGCATCCACTCTCTCTTTCTGTTTCTCTCTCCTTCTGTCTCTCTCTCTCTCTCTCTTTCGCACGCGCTCTCGCTCAATCTCTCTCTCTCTCTCGCTCTCTCTCTCTCACTCTCTCTCTCTCTCCCTTTCCATCCCTTCCTCCCTCCCCCTTTCCTCCATTTATCTTTCTCTCGTCTTTCTTACCCTCCTTTCTTCGGTCTAACCTCTCTCTCCTCGCTCACAGGTGCTTGTTATAGACTGTCTGTCTATCTGTCTATCTCTCTCTCTCTCTCCCTCTCCCTCTCTCTATCTATCTCTCTTCCTCTCTCTCTCTCTCTCTCTCTCTCTCTCTCTACTTCTCTCTCTCTCTTCTCTCTCTCTCTCTCTCTCTTCTCTTTCTCTCTTCTCTCTCTCTCTCTCTCTCTCTCTCTCTCTCTCTCTTCCGTCTCTCTCTCTCTTTTTCCTCTCTCTCTCTCTCTCTCTTCTCTCTCTTCTCCCTCTTCTCTCTCTTATTCTCTCCTCTCTCTCTTCTCTCTCTCTTTCTCTCCCTCCCTCCCTTCCTCCCTCCCTCCCATCCCTCCCTCCCTCTCTCTTCTCTTTCTTGCATCCCCACACATCTAACCTCTCTCTCCTCGCTCACAGGTGCTTGTGATAGAGCAGAAGAATGAGGATGGCACATGGCCGCGCATGAAGAGCACGGGAACGCTCGGCTATTCCTCCCTCCCCTCCGCCGTCGTCACCGCGACAACGACGACGACCGCCACAGCATCCGCGTCCGTCGGCACGGCAACGAGTAGCAGCAGCGGCGCGGAAACGCGATCGCAGTCCCTTCGGTGAGTACTCTGCCGTCGACGATGGGATAGGGGGCGCTAGCGGAGGCAGAGCTTCGGTTAAAGTGCCGAGAAGTTATTTCCGGCGGTTATTTCCGTTGGCTAAGGGTTTGCGGACGACTGCTGTCGTCCCTAGTTGCCTTTCACGTGGATCTTTGCCTTTTCGGTATTTTTTTGGTATGTTTCCGTGACCGCACGTAAATATTTGTCTTTCTGCTTCTTGGTTTCATGAACTAATCAGACTTTGTCTTCGTCATTGTTTCAGGTCGTACGGGGGATCGTATGGGGGCGGCAGCTACGCGACGGGAGCGTACGGTGGCAGCGAAGGTAACGGCGCAGGAGAGAAGAGCGCGAGCGTGCAACCGGGACTCTGCGGACTAGCGAATTTAGGCAATACCTGCTTCATGAACTCGGCGCTACAGGTAGGTGCGGTGGCGCCCCCAGTGGCGGCGGTCAGCGGCAGGAAGGGCGCGCGAGAGTATTAACAAGCGAACGCACGGATATTGTTCGTGTGTTCTGAGGATGCAGACCCTAATGTTGCTGCGGTAGATCGTGTAAATTTGTGTAGAAAGTCTCTGCCCGTGAGTTATTATGCTTGTTTTATAATATATATTGCAGTGTTTTCCATGCATTGACACCTCGCTCAAATTCTCAGCCGCCACACAGAAATTTGTCCAAAACGTCGCCTCGCTAACGAAAATCACTGTTCTTCCATAGAACAGTGCTTATAATGCACCAAGATAGCTTAGAATTCACCAAATTGCACCATTTTTGCAAAAAAAATTCCAGGGAGCAAGCCCCCAACCCCCCTAGCTTTGCTAGGACCTCAATCGCGCAAACACACACACAAATTACCATCTCACAGACCTTTTTGGCCAGTGGAAACACTGTATTGTACTAATATCATACGACGATATAATGTAAATAAGAATTAACGACCGAAATAATCGTCAATCGTCACATTAACATCCATATTCGGACGATATTCTCCGTCAATTCTCCGCTCTCACTCTGCTCTCTCTCTCTCGCTCTCTCACACACCAGTGCATGAGCAATGTGCGTCCGATCACGAAGTACTTCCTCGATGAGCGCCACCTGGCGGAGCTGAACGCGGAGAATCCGCTCGGCATGCGCGGCGAGATCGCCATCGCGTACGGACACCTCATCAAGCAGATGTGGTCGGGTCGCCACGGTTACACCGTGCCACGCGACTTCAAGGTGAGCGAGCGAGTCGGAGGCGGAGGCTGATTAACGAACACGGGTCGAGGTTTTCGTTGGGATTCGAGACTGGGACGCGCTTTAGTAAACAAAATTGTTAACGTTAGTATTAACGTTAGTCGTAACATCAGCTTTCTCTCACAGACTGTTGACAGTAACAAAATTGGTCTTAACATTACTCTTAACTTAAGTCTTAACATTAGTCTTAATATTAGTCTTAATATTAGTCTTAACATTAATCTTAACATCAACTTTTTCTCACAGACTGTTGACAGAAACAAAATTAGCCTTGACACGAGTCTTTAACGTGTTTTCTTTCCACCAGGTGGCAGTGAGCAGGTTTGCGCCGCAGTTTTCGGGCTACCAGCAGCACGACTCGCAGGAACTGCTGGCGTTTCTCCTCGACGGTCTACACGAGGATCTGAATAGGATCAAGAAGAAACCTTACATTGAATTGCGAGACCATGACGGTCGACCAGACGAGGTAGCATTATAATAGTAGTACAGTGGAACACCGATTGAACGCGAATTTGGATATAACGCGATGAGTCGTTGGCTCCTCTTTTTCGCTTTCATATAACCACGTATATATAACGCCGGTTTAGTGCGACCCCGCATTTTTTGCGATGACATTTTATGGACCCTAACCATCGCGTTATAATGGGCCTACACTGTAGCAGTAATAATTATAATAATAATGATTATAATAATCGGGAAGTTTATCGATTGTCAAACTTTAAAGCCTGTATTGCAAGATTTTTGTTCAGAAAAACTAAATATAGCTGAATATA